GGCATTCCAGAAAAGGGGAGCCGTGAGGGCAAAGGTGTAAAGGAAAACGTGCAGAGTGAAGACAGAAAGAGAGCCCCCTCAGTGGTTCGGGGTGGAGGCCAGACGTTGCGAACGAGAGGTGGAGGGGGGGAAACGGAGGCCGAGACCAGATCATGGAGTCTGGAATCCGTGCAGAGGAGCGGGGTCTTTTCTCTTGCAGCTAATGGAGAGGCAATGCCAGTCACTGGTGCCGCTGGGCTCGGGGGAGCTCACACCAGCCATGGGGGGCAGAGGATCAGAACGAATCGGCAGCACACAAGAGTTTTTAGAGCAGGAAACTACTCTGTGTGGTACTATAATGGTGGACGCATGTCATCGCACATCTGTCCAAACCCAAAGAATGTACGACCCTGAGAGTGAGCCCTATCGTAAACCACGGACTCTGGGTGATCACGGCGTGTCGGAGTAGACTTATCAACCGTAACAAATTTCAAAATAGGAGGTTTAGAAAGTCTCCGAGAGTAGATATAAACTTATTTGGCAAACTTCTTTCTCAACAGAATATGGGTGCCTTCCAGACGATTACCCTCTGAGAAAGAAATGAGAAAATAATGAGATGGACTGCCAGGACAGCATCCAAAACCAAGGAAAATCTACAGAAGGGTCGCTGGAGAGCTCTTCCCGAATGTCTGAATTTTAATCTTGCTGAGTAGGTGTAACCCCAGAAGGTGGGAAAGAAATGTGAATTGCCATTAAGATAGGATCTAATCAATTGTATTCAAATCAGTTCTCAAGAAAGAAACTTCTATGGGACCTAAAGGGGGACGCTCTGTATGTAAACCATAAAAAGAAAAAAAAAAGCCAGAGAGGTTCTCCAATAGTTTTTAGGGGAGTTCTGACCCAGGATTATCACTGTTCCAGGATTATTATTATCCTTCTCCTTTTTTTTCTTCTTCTTCTTCCTTTTAAAGATTTTATTTATTTATTTATTTGAGAGAGAGAGAATGAGCGAGTTGGGGAAACAGAGGGAGAGGGAGAGGATCTCAAGCGGACTCCCCACCGTACATGGAACCGGACCCTGAGATCATAAGCCTGAGCCCGAGCCAAAATCAAGACTCAGATGCTTAACCAACGGAGCCACCCAATTGCCCCTACAGGATTCTCTCTCTCTCTCTCTCTCTTTTTAGATTTTATTTATTTATTCACGAGAGACAGAGAGAGAGAGGGAGGCAGAGCGGGGAGCCTGACACGGGGCTCGATCCCAGGACCCTGAGATCATGACCTGAGCCAAAGGCAGATGCTTCACCGGCTGAGCCCCCCAGGCGCCCTTACAGGATTCTTTTCGAAGGGGAGACAGACTGCCCTCTTCTACACTGAAGACAAATCCTCTTAGAGCTGTAATGTGTTAGTTATGAAGTACATGCAGTCAATCCCCTTGCCTGATTTCAAGATTCCTGGACTAGATTTTTCTTATAGAAAAGAAAGGAGAGATGGACCGGATGAAATAAATGTTCTGTTGCCCTTTGCCATTTCAATCCATTTATAGAGAAGTTGATATTGCCACTTTTTGGTCCATCTATTGTGAGTCTGGTTAGCTTGAGCCAGGTGCACCTTTATGCAACAATGAATGGATCTTTACAGTGTACCAAATATTTGCCAGGCACAATTTTAGGAGCTGTGAACCCAGTAATGAACAAAATAGACAGGTTCCCAACTTGATACGGGTTCTCTTCTAAAGGGGAAATCCAGACATTAGCAAAGCCATTACACAAATAAATGGATATCAACAGTATGTGGCAGATGCTGTAATATTTGCTACGAGAACACAGAACATGAGAAGCTGACTTAGTCTGGTAGGTCAGGAAAGATTTCCCTTAAGAAGTGACTTAACTGGCAACATAAAACGTTAGGGCTTACGGAGCTGAGGACTCTACCCTGGATCGTGGTGACTCCATTCGTGCAAGGCTAGGGAGGTTCTCCCAGATACTAAATCTCATCTCTCTATAGTCCTATACAGTATTTTGCCTTTTTCTTTCCCTGAGTGTGTATAACTCAGTCTTCTATCAAGATGATTTGTGCCTTTTTCAGTTTGAATGGAAGTTCTTCGGGGTTGTCATCACTCGGCGCCCTTGCAGTATTGTGGGACTTGTGCCTTATTTAGGTCAGCTAGGACGCTTCGCCAATGTCTCAGGGGGATGAACCAGTGAAGACAGTCACATTATGCACAGGAGGTATTGCTATACAAACATGACAGTACTTTTTTTTTAAGTAACAGCTTTTTTGAGATACAATTCACATACCATACAATTCAGTTATTTAAAGCGTATAATTCAGTGTTTTTTAATATCTGAAGAATGCGACCATCGGTCCAATCAATGTTGGAACATTTTCTTCACCCTAAAAGTCATGCTCTGCCCCTTTCTCCGTACCCATGAGCAGCCACTCTCCGTCTCCCCATTTCCCTCTAACCTCTCAACACTGGGCAACTGCTAATCTATGTTCTGTCTCCGTGGATTTGCCTATTCTGGACATTTCATGTAAATGGAATTATATACTATGTGGTCTTTTGTGACTGACTTTCACTGAGCATAATGTTTCAAGGTTTATCGTTTTTGTTGCTGAATAATATTTCATTGTATGGATATACCGTATTTTATCCTTTTTTTTTTAAAGATTTTATTTATTTATTTGACAGAGAGAGAGGGAACACAAGCAGGGGGAGTGGGAGAGGGAGATCAGTTGGTGGGCATTCGGGTAGTTTCCACTCTTGGCCTATTATGAATAATGCTGCTTTGAACGTTCCTGCATGAGTTTTTTAAATTGAGGTGAAAAATCACATGATGTAAACCTTTTTACATCAACAATTCAGTGCCATTTAGTGCATTCACAACGTTCTGCAACCACCATCTTTATTTAATTCCCAAACATTTCGGGGCGCCTGGGTGGCTCAGTCGTTAAGCGTCTGCCTTCGGCTCAGGTCATGATCCCAGTGTCCTGGGATCGAGCCCCGCATCAGTCTCCCTGCTCAGCGGGGAGCCTGCTGCTCCCTCTCCCACCCCCCTTCCTTGTGTTCCCTCTCTCGCTGTGTCTCTCTGTGTCAAATAAATAAATAAAATCTTAAAAAAAAAATTCCCAAACATTTCATCACTCTAAAATAAAACCCCATACCCATTCCTCCCATCCAGCCCAGCACCTGGCAGCCACCAATCTACTTTCTGCTTCAAGGGATTTACCTATTCTGGATACTTCATATCATTCAAATCATAGGGTATTTCGTATCATTCAGATCATAGGATATGTGACCTTTAGTGTCTGGCTTCTTTCCCTTAGCATGGTATTTTTGTTTTATTTTTTTATTTTTTTAAAGATTTTATTTATTTGAGAGAGAGAGAGCGTGCGCACATGAGAGGGGGGAGGGTCAGAGGGAGAAGCAGACTCCCTGTCGAGCGGGAGCCCGATGTGGGGCTCGATCCTGAGATTCCAGGATCATGACCTGAGCCGAAGGCAGTCACCCAACCAACTGAGCCACCCAGGCGCCCTAGCATGGTATTTTTGAAGTTCATCCAGTTGAAGCACGTATTAGTACTTCATTCCTCTTTTGTGATTGAATAGTATTCCATGACATATATAGACCACACTTGATCCATTCATCTGTTGGTGGATATGTGGGTTGTTTCCACCCTTTGGCTACTGTGGATGGCGCCACTGTACATACTCTTCCACAAAGATTTGAGTACCTGTCTTTAATGATTTGGGGCATATAGCTAGGAGTGGAATTGTTGGGTCGTAGGGACAATACATCTGTGAGAAGAGCCGGTTTGGGCTTTAAACAATGCGCCCAGGCAGCTGGGGTTGTTTTCGGGTTTGCTTTCGTTTTTTTAAGGGAAAGGTAGAGATTTCAGACAGTAGAGTGGAGGGAACTGGGAGTGATGGCAGACCATGCTCCATGAACTTTTCTCAGTTGAAGCTAGTGTTTGCAGTGCACATCGACCGCGTCATTGGCATTCCTCAGATCCCGGGGTGGGCTTCCAAGCCCAGGTATTTGGCCAAGCTCCGGCTGGAAACCTGGCAACTGGAGGGAGGAGACTACAAAGTGTCGGGGAAGGCGGCCGCCTCCTTCCCTACAAGGAGGGCCGGGAAGTACAGACCGAGAGACAGGTTGTTTCCCGCTTCACGGTCCTCTGCCATGACTTAGGGAACGTCAGTGGAATTTAACGCGCCACTCGTCTTTACAGAGAGTTCTTTCTAAGGGCGCTCGCAGACACCTGTTTTAGCCACGGCAGGGAGCAGCAGCTGGGGGCAGAGGGGGGGAGAAAGGCCATGGAAGCCCCCCTGGAGCTCTCCAGCCGCCCCAGGGAGCCAGGCGCCCCAGGGCTTCCACAAGATGGTGGCGGCCACGCGGCCGCTCTAGCTCGCGGCTGGAACTCTATGGCCGAGCCGCGGCCGGCCGCGCAAAGCGGTGAAGCTGAGATGGGCGGTAACCCGACCACACTAACGCGCTAGGAAGTGTGAGCGGAAAGAGCCCTCCCGCGCATGTGTGGAAAGGGGGGGGATGGGCTCTGAGACGAGGGGCCCACCCCGCAGTGCAAGTTTTCTGAAACGTGTGAGTCGTTTAAGTCCAGTTAAAGCCGCGGTGGGGCGTTCCCCAGACGCATGCGTCCTAGCCGAGACTAGCGAGACAGTAGCGTGGTCTTTTCAACGCCCGGCGTACAGCCGACGTCTGAGGTGGAAGGGGCGGTCAGGATTCCCATCACGCATGCGCATTGAGGCCGAGGCGTTTCCTTCAGAGGGTGTGGAGTGCAGGGCTCTTCTTTGCGCAGGCGCAATTCCTGTCCGGTAGGGCTAGTGGTCTATCACGGGAAGGGAAGAGGAGGTTGAAGGGCTTAAAAAACCGGGTGCGCCTGCGCACTGCCTACGGGTGGGAAGAGCTCGGGATTTGTAAGGGGCGGGGTCACGCATACGCGTCATTGGATGGGTAGGTGGGAGGGAGGGTGGAGCTCGGGGAGGGTCTGTGCGCTTGCGCAGTGCGGGGGTGGAGGGCGGAGGGGATAAGATAGCACGCTTGCGCGGCTGTCACAGGGCTGCTTGGTTGGTCAGTGGGGAGTCGGCGCCTGCGTACTAAGACCCGTGTGCAGCAGCGGCGGCGGCGGTAGAGGCGGCGGCGGCGGCGGCGGCAGCGGGCTCGGGGGCAGCGGTTGGGCTCGCGGCGAGCGGACGGGGTCGAGTCAGTGCGTTCGCGCGAGGTGAGAGCGGGCAGGGCGCGCGTGCGCGGAACCCTGGCGTGGGCCTAGGAGTAGAGATGGAACTGCGCGAGGGTCGGGGAGGGGGCAGAGGGGAGCGGCGGCCGCCGCCGCCGCACAGGGTTCGGTCCGCGAGCCGCGCGAGGTACGGAGAGGCGCGGGCGCGCGCCCCGGTTGGCGCGCGGGGTGACGGTTGGGGCCGGCCGGGTGACGTTGGAGCGACGCAGGGCGGGGGACGGCGAGCCGCGAGGCCGCCACGCGGGAGAGGCTGCCGGGCGGCCACGCCGGGGCGAGGGCCGGGGGCCAGATCGGCCCGCCGGGGCAAGGGGACCTGGGCCGTTGAGAACCGGGCGCCGCGCGGCCACGTGAGGTGGGGGAGGGGGCTATTCGGTGAGAGGGCATGTGGGGGGGGGTTGGCGGCCGGCCGGGGGGGGAGGGGAGGCGGCGTGGCTCCGGCCTGGCGCGGCCTTTGAGGAGGGGGTGCCGGCGGCACCGGAAGTGTCCCCTACCAGAGGCTGCTCTCGGGGTCGGAGGCCTCATGGCCGAACGTGGACGGGGGCCGCATGGTAGCGCGGGGACCCCTCCCCCCCCCCAGATCCCGGCCACCGGAAGCCCCAGGAGGCCACATGGTGGGCGGGAGCCGGCCACCCCCCAGCGCGGGGAGAGGTGGTCCTCGCAGGCGCCCAGGGGAGCTTGGAATTTGGGGGAGGGGGGGAGAAGCCCGAGCCCCGGATCCTGATCACCCCGGAGAGCCCGCTGCAGGCATATGTTAGCGCTCCGCCGCCCCATGGGCTCCTGGAGCTCTTCCCCCAACTCCGATGTGAAGTGAGGCGGCCCGCCAGGTGTAAGTAGCGCTCACCCTTGCTGGGTGGCCGGAGGAACGGGGAGAGCCCGGGCGATTGGACGGCAGCCCAACTCTTGGGGGTCGTGCCGACAGCGCCTTCACGTCCCGGGCGGAGAGTTCCCCGCCGAGATCGGTGCTCTTCACCTTGTCATTTCCTGCGCCGCGGTGTCGGGTGTGGGAGCGCTGACGCCGCCAGCCCAACAGAACTTACTCTACTGACTCCCACCAGCCTTTTGCTTTCATTTTATTGTCATTCACCACTCCCCAATCCTCCACTTTCCGCTGAGCCTACAGGCCCGGCCTGAAAAGCCGACAGGACTGGTGCATCCTGGGAAAAGGGGGAGGGCCCTCGCGGAGAGGCCGGGTTCCTGGGTTCCCTTTGGGAAACGAGATGGAGGTGTTCGGCAGGGGGGAAAGTTAGAAACAAGTTTACTTTCTCTCCCTCGGCTGTGTCTGCAAATGCATGTTGGAGAGGCGGGAATCCCCCAAAGAGGCCTTGTGGTTTCCTGTACCAATGACTGGCTTGTGTGTGGATAGGGTGGGGGGTGTAACAGACGGGTGGGGCCCTGTCCTCCGGTCTCCACCCTCCCCTCTGCCCCCCCCACGATAGCCCCGCCCTTTTGCTGGCTCATGGCTGCTCACCTAATTATAGCCCTGGTTATGAGTGGGGAAGAGGGGTGGTTGGTTTCAGTGGCAAGTAACACCTGAGTTTTCCCCCTCCCAGGAATCAGGCCTTTGTCCATTTCCCAGGTTGGACATCCTAACTGCCTGGAGCCTTCCTTTCCCAAGCCCACCCCTTTAGCTTTCATTTGGACTGGGGGTCCAACTTCTGTCCCCCTCCGCTCCCAGACACGCACTAGTTCTTAAGTATTTGTGGTCCCAATCAGTATTTAACCTGGGCACGTCGATCCTCTTTTAGGTGGATGATGGAAGAAAAGGGCTGTGGGGAGAAGGAAGCCGTGTTTCCAGGGAGGAGTGAGGTAGATTGAGACCTCTGTTGACCTCCATCCTGACTGGCTCGGGTTTTCTTTTTGACTCTAGTTGGAATCGAAGCCTCTTAAAATGGCAGATGACTTGGACTTCGAGACAGGAGATGCAGGGGCCTCAGCCACCTTCCCAATGCAGTGCTCAGCATTACGTAAGAACGGCTTTGTGGTGCTCAAAGGCCGGCCATGTAAGATCGTGGAGATGTCTACCTCCAAGACTGGCAAGCACGGCCATGCCAAGGTTAGACCTTGACCTCTCCGCACTTCCCATATCCACGGGGCTCCCGGCACAAGCTGTCCTCAGTCCCGGCCCTGTCCATTCCTTTAGCCCTGGCTTACCGTCCGTTTCCTTGCGTCCAGCACTCAGCCCTGGATGCCTTTCACCTGTACCTTTGTGAGGCCTTCGGCTCTTCCTTGGTGACCCTTCCTTTCCCCAGCCTTGTGTGAGTCTCTGATTTCTCTAGGTGCTCTTTTTAGCTGCTCCTTCCTTCATGGCTTTCACTTTTCGTCTCTTTTCCCTTGAGTCTTCGTTCCTGGGGCTTCCCCAGGCCTAACACCGGAGGCAGCCTTTCTTGGAGGGCGCCAGCATACCTCTGAGCCTCCGAGCCACCTTGCCGGCCCACACTCCGCACCAGCTTTCCTTTTGGTCTCTGAAGTGGTGTCAGCCGAGTCTCTTCCTGCCCCCTCCCCTTGAGTTCCTTGAGCCGCCCCCTTGTTTTCTTGGGTGCTAACATTCTTGCTAGTGCTTTCCATGTCAGTTAAGGTTTTTCTCCCTTCGAAAACCTGACCTGGTTCATCCTTGTTGGATTTCTTAGGGTTTTGGTCTCTAGTTGGTTTGTCTTCCATTGGCTTAGCGTTCATCCTGGGTTCCCTCCTGGTTTTCTGATTGCCCGTGGCATAGTTCTCCCTGAAGTCCTCCTTCTCGCCCACTTCCTTTTTCATTCATTCTTGTTTTCCCAAGTTCTGCGCCTTTTATGCGGATGTCCAGACCAGACGCTCTTTCGAAGGTTTTACCTAGACTCCCCCCCCGCGCCGGGTTCCTGGGTCAGTGTTCCCGTAGCTCAGGGTAACTGGCTGCCCCAAGCCTGCACCATGGTTTCCCTGGTCAGTCACCCCCAACCTCAATGGGAGTGTGTCTGCCTCCAGTTCTTGCTAGAGGCTTTATCTAGTGTTTCTTTGAGTTCGTTGGCTCGATTCCACCTCCCCTGATTTTGCCCTAACAACCTAGTCTGACTTCCCCCGACAGGGGGTAGCATGTGCTTTTCTCTCCACCCTACAGTTTGGTTGGGTTTCTCTTTCACGTGATGCATACATACAGGTTCACCTGGTTGGTATTGACATCTTCACTGGCAAGAAATATGAAGATATCTGCCCGTCAACTCATAATATGGATGTTCCCAACATCAAAAGGAATGATTTCCAGGTACGTAGGTGGGTTGGTGGTTTGTTGGGGGGAGTACAGATTGACCAGAGGAGCTTGTGCTGGGAGAGGGGGGGAGCAGGACACCGGGGAGTTTGCCGCCCGTTTGTTCTCAGACCGTTTATCCCCCACCTTCGTGGGCCAACCTTGCACTTCCTTCCCTCTGTGCCCTCAGCTGATCGGCATCCAGGATGGGTATCTATCACTGCTCCAGGATAGCGGGGAGGTGCGAGAGGACCTTCGTCTGCCCGAGGGAGACCTCGGCAAGGAGATCGAGCAGAAGTATGACTGCGGAGAAGAGATCCTGGTATGCTGCCCCCCTCAACCTTGGGCCCAGCTGCAGTCTCTGTGCCTCGTCCTCAGCTCCCTTCTGACTCTCCCCTTTGCACCCGCAGATCACGGTGCTGTCTGCCATGACAGAGGAGGCAGCTGTTGCAATCAAGGCCATGGCAAAATAACTGGCTCCCAGGTGAATGTGACCCACTCCCCTGGCCGGGCCCACGTTTTGTAGTCCCCACTGAAAACCTGCTCTAGCCCCTAACCGTTCTGGGCTTCCTTCCTGGGGACGGTGGTGTCCTGCCTCACCTGGTCTGTCTCTCCTCCCCAGGGTGGCCGTGGTGGCAGCAGTGATCCTCGAGCCTGCAGAGGCCCCCTCCCCCAGCCTGGCCCAGCTCTGGCTGGGCCCTTGGCTGGACTCCTCCTCCACAATTTATTTGACGTTTTATTTTGGTTTCCCCCACACGCCCTTAATCTGTCGGGGAGCCCCTGCCCTTCCTCCTGCTCCCTTGGCCAGGAGTGAGTGACCCCCGGCCTTGGCGAAGCTGCCCTCCTGTTCTCTCCCCCCCGCACTACAGCCCTGGTAGGGGAGAGGGGGTGGGTGCTGCTTGTGGTTTAGTGGGTTGGTTTTGGTTTTGGTTTTTTTTTTTTTTTTTTTTTTTAATTCAATCTGGAATCAGAAAGCTGTGGATTCTGGCAAATGGTCCTTGTGCCCTCCCCCCCCTCATCCCTGCGCTGGTCCCTTGTTTCCCCATGGCCCTTTACCCCAAGCACCACCCCACAGACTGGGGACCAGCCCCCTCCCCTGCCTATGTCTCTCCCCAAATACCTTTAGCTGGGGAGGGAAGAGGAGGAGAGGGGAGGGGACCTGCCCCCTCCTCAGGCATCTGGGAGGGCCCTGCCCCCATGGGCTTCACCCTTTCCTGTGGGCTCTCTCCCCGACACATTTGTTAAAATCAAACCTGAATAAAACTACAAGTTTAATATGAAGGCCCCAACTCAGTTGCTTCTTTGAATTAAATGGGTGTTTGCTGACTAGAACGGTAAAGTTGGAAACCACGACACTGAACTCTTGCTGCTGAGTTCGTTACCCCACCCACTGTCCTCCTGTGACCTGCCTGCCACCCCTCACCCTCCACGCAGCCCTGGCCTGGGCCCAGAGAGAGACGACAACAGCAGCCAGGGGCGGAGCGGTGGCAGATAGATTTTATTGGACTGGGACACACCAGGGGCCCTCACCCGTGGTGGGGGTTGGGGGTGAGCTTGAAGATAAAATCTGACGATCACTTGTGGTAGAATCGCGGATTCTGGCTGTGCTGGATGAAGGGGAGCCGAGGGCCAGGCTGGCTGGTAGCTGCAAAGCCCGACTGGTGGTGGTGGAAGGGGGGCGGGCTCTGTCGGTGTGGCCCTCCCCCTCAATGCACCCCCGCACTCCCAGCTTCCCCCCCAGAGAGGGAAAAGGAGGAGTGGGGGCTGCCTCTCCTACCCAGTCCTGCTTTCCCTGGAAGCGCAGGGCTTCCGGCGGGTGGGATTGCCATCCTTACCTTTCCTGCCGGTTGCATCTGCACAGGGAGCTGGGGAGAGGCAAGGAGTCCAGGGGCTGGATGCAGAGCTTGGGGATGCATGGGGCGCAGAGAGGACTGCGGAGAAGAGAGTCAGGACCTGAGGCAGCCCGGGGCGCCCCTTGGCAGAGTGCTGCCCTTGACCTCCCAAGACTCCATACTCACAGAGTCTGAGAAGCCGGTCTGCTGATTGGCGTGTTCCATTTGCTTCTGTAAGGAAAGGGCACCGCCAGGCTGGAGGAAGCCTAGGAAGGGAAGGAGGGGTGTGCAGGATGAGCAGAACCTGGAAAGGGGAGGCGAGGAGGACGCGGGGGGCCGAGGACGCGGGGGGCCAGGGCCGCGGCGCCGGGCAGCCTCACCTGTCTGGGTGGGCTGGAAGTGGCCGTGCACCGCGTAGGGCTGGGGCTGCGGCTGAGACAGGTACTGCACTGCCGGGAACGCCGAAGGTGCTGAGGGCGGCAGGGGCGCAGGCGGTCGGGCCTCCTTCCGGCCGCTTGGCGACCGGCCGCCTCCCGCTCTTCCCACCACTCACCTCTGAGCTGCTGACTGGGGCTGTAGGCCGGCTGCGTGGGTCCGTAGTGGGGTGGGGGCTGAGCGGTCCCATAGGCACCGCCAGGGCTGCCTTGGAATTGACCGTGCTCCGGGGTCCCCGCGAAAGCAGCTGCCGAGCCCACGTAGTGCCGCGTCTGTGGAGGGAGCAGGAGCGCTCACTGGTGCTGTCCACTGCAAAGCAGAACCCCAAGCGCCTCGCCTACGCCCCACTTTCCACGATACGGGAAAGCGTCACACGACGCTCACGACTTGCTCGGTTCACAAAGGCGCCTGGGTCTGCGCGGAAGTAGCCGAGAAAACCAGTGCGCTCCACACTCAGTCCTACTGCTTACCGTGAGCACTTGGGGTCCGAACATCTGCTTGGCCCTGTCGGCTGCCATGAGGGTTCCTGGGCGACTGTGTCCTCCAGGGCTCCCTAGACAGGGAGAGGGGCTTCGTGAGGCTGAAGTGGGTGGCTGCAAGCCCCAGGAGGGCACGTTGCACCCCGCGGGGCCTTCCTCACCCTGCATGCTGAGGAGGTGAGTTCCTGTGTGAACCGTCAGGCTCTGTGGGTACGCGGCTGATGTCAGAGTGGTCAGGTCACTGCGGGGGGAGGCGGGCAGGTCAAAATCGAGGGCGAGGACAAGTGCCCCCTCTCCTGCCATTAGACACCGATCTGGTGTTACCAGTTCCCAGTTACACTCTGCCCCAAGTTTTAGCTCTCCAATCCCACCTCTGCTCCTTTCGCCTCCGTTTCTCTTCCTCGTGTAAAACTTTCTTGAGCTGCAGGAAGAGCTGGTGCTTCTCTTCCTGTAGGGCCAACAGCTTCTCCTGCAACTTCAGGATCTGCGGAGGGCGGGGATTGGAGCTGAAGGCAGGAGAGCCAAGGGAGGAAAGAGCTGGGACAGATCAAGGGGCCGCTTACTTGTTCCTTGGTCTCCTCTAGTGACATTCTCTCTTCCATCTCCTTTTTCTTCCTCCTCTCTTGCTCCTCTTTCATCTTCTGTTCCATCATCTTGTCCACCTCTTCCTCCTCTGGAGAGTCAGGCAGAATAGGAAGACGGCAGGGTGGTTAGAATACTAGAGTGGCAGGGATCGAGAACCTTCAAAGCCCGGTTATCAGAATGCTCCCTCTGCCCCCTCGGTAAGGGCCCTTTCCTTCCGGAGGGGACAGGGACGGAGACTTGATTAGGTGCTCTCCAAGGTCCTTCCCGACCCAAGGGTTCCGGAGCTCAGGCCCGGCCTCCGGCTCCCACCACCGGCGGGGCCGCCCCCATCCCTCCCCCGAGCGGCCGCGGCGCGCTGCTCCGCCCGTGGTGGGGGCCGGGCCCCCGGCGGAGCGCTGCCGCCCGGGATGTCCTCCCGCTCGGGCCCAGCTCACCCTGCCGCTTGCGCTCCCGCTCCATCATGATGTGCCGGTGCAACGCCCGGGCCATGGCGTTGGAAAGCTTGGGGCGCTCTAGGAGCGCGGGCATGGTGCTGCCGGGGGCGCTCGGGCCGTGGGCGCCCGGCTCTGCCACGGACTGCCAGACCTCGGACCGGGCCTACCGGGAGGCGGGCGCTCAGGGGGGTCGCGCCGGGCGGGCCGAGGCGGAAACCCGCCCGCCGCCGCCGCCGCCGCCACCACCCCGGTCACGTGCCCGGCGCCCGCCCCCCCCTCCCCTCCCCACGGCCGGACCCGGTGCTCCGCGTGGGCGGCCGGGCAGGGGTCTCCGGCCTCGGCGTTGCCCGCCCCCCGCCCCCTCCCTACCCGCCTTCGCTGCGCTTTCTCCGCGGCTCCTGAGCGCCTCGGCCGCGCGTCACTTCCGGCCGCCGGGCCGACTCCTTCCGGAGCCGGGGAGGCCCGCGGCCTCGTGGGTCGGGCGCAGGGAAGGGCGGAAGCGGCCGCGACGGGTGCCGGGGGCGGCCAAACCCCGTCGGCTCGCCCGGCGCCCCCAAGCTGGGCGGGCCCAAGGCTCGTCGGGGGCGGCGCGAGAGAGAGGCCGAGGCGTGCGCTCCGGGACGGCGTTTATTGGCTCCTTGGAAACCCGCGTCCGTAACAACTGTACAGCCGCCCACCTTCCCCGCGCCCGCCCTCGCCTCTCCGCCCGGCGGCCCGGGAAGCGGCGGGTCCGGGGAGGCTCCTCGGGATTCACAGTAACAGGAACGAAAACGGAAATAAATTAAGTGATACGGGGGAGGGAGTCCAGGGAGTCGTGTTCCCCAAGTCAGTGCATGAAGGGGGCTGCCGGGCCCGGAGCCCGGCGGCGGCGGCGGCAAGTCCGGCTGCGGCTGCCACGCCGGGGGTGGGCGCCGTGCGCGCGGAGATGCGCTCCCCTTGCAGCGGCGCGGCGGGCCACGGGCTCCGGGCGCATCCGCTGGGGCTGGGGTTGCTGAGCCGCCGGGGGCGGGCGGGGTCGCGGGGGGGGGGAGGGGCTGAGCCGGGGCCATGGTCACGCAGAGTCCGCGGGCCGGGGCCCCACTGTGCTTGTCGTCGAGAGGCCGGCCCTCACTCCACGCGCACCAGCAGGGCATAGAGGAGCGTGGCCCCCTTCTCCTTGGTTACCCACTCGAGTTCGGCTGGGCTGAAGTGGGGGTCGGGAGGTTCTCGGAGGGCGGCCGAAGGGGGCCCGGGGGTGTAGGAGCCGGGCCGCACGCACACCTGGAACGCCACCTGGGCCTGGTGCGTCCGCTGGGACTTGGGGTCCCGGAATCTGTCAGGCAAGAAGCAGAAGGCCGTCCATGAGGAACTCAGGTTCCCTCCTCCCCCTGCTACCTGCACGACTGGCACCGATCTTCGGGGTCACCCCGGCCTTACAGGGGTGGCCGGGCTCTGGCGGCCCTCCCAGCTTGCCGCCATCTGCCCGGACGCCCGTGCGCCCCCTCCCTTCTCCAGGTCTCTGCTCAAACCTTCTTCACGATGTCCATTCTGATCACCCTCCAACCTCACGCTCCAGCCGCACGTGTGTGACCCACTGCGCCCCGCTCTACTTTTTATTTCCATAGTACTAGTCATCTTCAAAGCTAAACGTTCTAGAGTGTCACGGTGGGAACCCGGAGGGCAAGCCACGGAGACCCCCGCCCCCCCCCCCAGGCGTACTCACTGCACTTTGGATGCCAGGGTCTCGGCCCCAGCATACAGGAGGGAGGGGGAAAGCAGCGCCGGAGGGGGCTGCCCCTCCCGCGGTGGTGCGCAGTTCTCGCCAGGCTCCTCAAACCCTACCCCGGGCTCGCCTTTCAAGGGCCGGCAGCTCAGGATGGAGGCGGTGCCTGTGGGAGAGCCGGGTCAGGGCCGCCGTCCGGGCCGAGGCTCCACGGCCCCGCCTCCGCCAGCGCCGAGGTACCTGCTCCCAGCTCCCCTCGGTCCAGCACCCTCCGGACGGCTGCCACGTTGCTCCCGTGATACGCCATGTGCCACTTCTTGGTCAGCGTCCCAGCTTCCAGGCGGGGATTCACCCTACGACGGACCCGGCACACTGGACACAGGTCGCTGGCTCCCTGACACCATCCCCTGGCCTACAAGTCCTGTCACTTCTTCCACGCACCCTCTGGGGAGCCTCCCCCATCCAGGGGGTAAGCGCGCTAAGGGAGAAGTGCCACCCGGCCCCCCACGTACCTGAGATTGAACCTGCACCAGCCGAAGGGCAGAGCGTATTCTCGTGGGGGCTCCCCACGGCGCCTGTGGGCCTCATCCCCTCGAAGCTTCCGGCAAGACTCACAGTAGCACAGGCTCCGCTTGGGCGGGGGCATGAAATAATCCTCTGTGGGAAAGCGAGGGGTAGTCTGGGTGCGGTGGCTCCTGCCCCGGGTCTCCACCATGCGGCCCCTTCCAGCTGGTCCCCTGGGCTCTGGGCACAGCCCCGCACCGGTCCAGGGAGTGCAGTGGGCTCTGGAGCACTGGGGACTCACCAGGAAGCAAGAGCAGTTCTTGGAATCGGGAGCAGAGGGCATGGTACTCGCAGCTCTTGAGAGGGCTAGCAGCAGGCAG